CTTTCCCGAAGCTGGGACTCTTTTTTCCTGAACCTGGGACTCGTTGCTGCCGAAGCTGGGACCCTTCTTCCCGAACCTGGGACTGCTCGTCATCATTCAGTCTCCCACCCCCTCTACCCCTCCCCCCTTCCCTGGGCGTCGTCCATTCGGAACCATCCAAGCCCAGTTTCCACTAGCAACGTACAGTTTTTTCAACGGCTGAATCTGGACGTGTTTTGGCGCTACGGAGCCAAGCCCCAGTAGCAACGTTCAGTTTCTTCAACGCCTGAATCTGGACGTTTACGGTGCAGAAACCGCGTTGAGTTTTCTCAAACGCACATCTCCGCATACACGTCCAGATTCAGGCATTGCGGAAACTCAACACTGCTACCTGTAGTGGCACTTGGCCCCTGGTACACATCTCCTCAAACGCACATCTCCTCTTCCTCTTCTCGCATCTCTACTCCTCGGATTCTTTCGAGACTCCCCCCCTTTTCTTGTTCTTTACTTCACCCCATTTCCTACCTTGAACGGAGAGAGGGCCGTTCAGAAAAAAAAAAAAAAAAAAAAAAGAAAAAAAGGGGGGCTATCTCTTAAAAAAATAAAAAAGAAAAAAAAAAAAAGGAGACCACAAGATTTCAACGTAGTCCCCGAAAAAAAAAAAAAAAAAAAAAAAAATTCGACGTGTTCACACTGCGGCCACAAGATTTCAATGTAGTCCCCGAAACAAAAAGAAGAACGAATTCAGCGGCCACACAAGATTTCAACGTAGTCCCCGAAAGAAAAAAGAAAAAAAAAAAAAAAAAAAAGATTTCAACGTGGTCGCACTGCGGCCACATGATTTCAAAGTAGTCCCCCCCCACAGAAAAAAAGATTTCAACGTGGTCACACTGCGGCCACAAGATTTTCAGATCTCCACAACTGGGACATGGCCCCCCGGGGCCAAGTCCCGATTACCCGAATGATCGATTTCTGACCGCAGATTTGGAAACTCAACGACCAGAAATCAAGGATCGGCGTGAGCGGGACTTGGGCCCTCCGATCAATGAAGATATGAATATCCGAGGACCGTCGCCCGTTTTTCAAAAAGAAAAAGGGGGTCTGCGCGGGAAAGGCGAACAACCCGAGTTTTTTTTTTTTTTTTTTTTTTTTTTTTTTTTTTTTTTTTCCAGTTTCCTCCTCTGCCGAGTAACTCTGGGTTCGAGCCCAGCGTGCGACAAGATGAAGAAGGTTTCCTCGCCCGACCTGAAGCTTGTGTTCCCCCCCCAACCAAAGGCTTGTCTTGGTTGTTGAGCAGCGCTCGTAAGTTGAACTGGGTGAGGCAAAAAAAAAAAAAAAAAAAAAAAAAACTGGCTGAGGCTGCCACAAAAAAGAAAAAAAAAAGAAAAAAAGAAAAAAAAAGAAAAAAAGAAAAAAAAAGAAAAAAGAAAAAAAGGACAAGCCCACATTCAGGCGTTCATTCCAACCCTCTTTGACGAATCTGCGACTCTTCTTTTCCGAACCTGGGGCGAGGTCCCACTAGCAAAGAGGATTGGAATGAACGCCTGAATGTGGACGTGTTTTGGCCTCAATGGTCCAAGGAAATAGAGAAGGAACTACTTTTCTGCATCTCTACTTAAAAACACATCCAGATTCAGAGACTGAAACCAACCCTCTTTGCTACCGTAGTGGGACTTGTTCCCTGGGACCTCGTCTTTCCCGAGCCTGAGTGTTCGACGCGCCGGCTCGTCTTGCCCGCGCCTGACAGTCTTCGTACCCGAACCGGACACTCTTCCTCCCCCTTTTTTTTTTTCCTTTTTTTTTGCGGGGGGGGGGCTGGAGAGGGGGGGGGTTCCCACTGCTCATGAGGACTCCATTCCAACCTTCCTCTCTCGTAATTTCCCCCTGGCTCACCCCCTCTACACTCGTCTTCTTCCCCTAACCTGACGTCGCTCTTCCTTGCCACGCCTCAGTCTCATCCTCACCTACTGTACACTTTGAGACCCTTCACATCATCGTCGGCTCTTCTTTCTCGACCTGGGACTCTACGTTGCCAAAACTGGGACACCTGGGACTCTCCTTTGCCAAACCTGTGGGACTCTCCTTTGCCAAACCTGGGAAACCTGGGACTCTTCTTTCCCGAAGCTGGGACTGGGACTCGTTGCTGCCGAAGCTGGGACCCTTCTTCCCGAACCTGGGACTGCTCGTCATCAGGACTCTTCGCTTCCAAACCTGGGACTCTTCTTTCCCGAAGCTGGGACTCTTTTTTCCTGAACCTGGGACTCGTTGCTGCCGAAGCTGGGACCCTTCTTCCCGAACCTGGGACTGCTCGTCAT